TCCGGACAAAAATCTCCAAAATATATTCAAAATGTGCACACCCGGCACGTCAACAACATACAGAAAGTTACGCGGTAAAAACTAAACCAGTCCGAAAATACGGACGAAAATCGCTAACAAAAACGAACTTCGGACAGAAAATACCGCCAACAGCGACGGTTCTGAAAATTGAGAAAGTCGGATTGTGCCTTACCTTGCGTACAGCAAAATCCTCAACAGTCTCGACGAACGAAAACGGACCCGCGGCTTCCCGAAATCAACTTTTCCTTTTTCCTCTTTTTCCTTTTCTCACGGATGGAATTTCTGATATTTTTTTTCTCTCTCTTCAAAATATCTCATTTCCTCTTTAAAATACTCAGATCGTCCTGGACGATCGCACTTCGTCCCGGTACGATCTGGGCTCTGAAAAATTCTCGTCCAGACGAAATGAATTATCGTCTCAGGACGACTTGGGCTCTGGAAAATTTTCGTCCAGACGATCCCACATTTCGTCCCGGACGAACTGCCCAATTTTCGCCATTCTGAACATACTTGTATCGATCGTCCCAGACGATCCAACTTCGTCCCGGACGAACCTGGAGCAGAACTGATATTACAAGGTGTATGACTGAAGAGATTAAAGAATTGCTTTGGTTTAGAAATTCCCGCTTTGAGTCGAGTTTGGATGTGGTGAGTGGGATGAGGCGCGGTAGTATGGTGTTGAGCGGCTGTGGTAGAGGAAGTACTCAGTATGATGGGCGTGGTGACAGAAGTATTCCGTGCATTATGAGAGATGGTGGGAGTGTGATGATGCGTAGATGTGGGAAGATGAGTTGGTGAATGTGAGTTCTGAGGAGAGGTGTGAACTGAAGCCGGAGTGAGAAGGAGAGGTGAAATGTGATTTGCAGAGGCAGTCATGTTCTTGGATGGGGACTGGGTATTGGAATTGAAGGGAAAGGTTGTCTCGTAAAAAACCACATGCCGAGAGATTATAGTTTTGCCGGTGACGAGGTTGAGACATTTATATCCCTTGTGCTGCGATGAGTACCCAAGAAGGACACATTCTTGGGATCTTGGTTCAAATTTGTTTGTAGTGTAAGGTCGTAGCCACGGGAAACAGAGGAATCAAAAAGTGCGTAAATGGGTATAGGTTGGTGGTTTACCATGAAACCGTTGATGTGGTGATTGAAGCGAGAGCGAGGTTGAAGGTAGACGGTTTATGAGGTAATGTGCTGTGGAGAGGGCGTCGACCCAGTACTTATTAGGGAGGCTGGCGGCGTGGAGGAGAGTGCGGGTTAGCTCAAGAAGGTGCATGTGCTTACGTTCGGCGAGACCATTCTGCTCCGGGGTGTGAGGGCAGCTAAACTAATCAGCGATGCCGTTGTCAAGGAGGTATCGGTTGAATTCGTTGCTAGTATATTCGCCGCCGCCG